AAGCGTTTAGGATGTTTTAAATCTCTTGAAACTTCTCAAGGACGACAAGTTGTTAAGACATTAAAATATACCTTTTTTCCTTTAGTTTACAAAATAGAGGTAGAAGACGCAGCTCATGAGACACATAATATGCTATTGCCCATTAAGTTCTTGGTAGCTTTCGGAAGCTGGGGCCATCTACTTTAAACCCATATATAAATAAAACATCTGAATTACTGGAACATACAGTTGTGGCATTTAAAAAAAAAGTGGAAAATGTTGGTATCTGAAAATTAACATAGATATTCACTTTTGATCACGTCTGAATTTTTTACCTTTATATGGTAGGTGATTTTAATGATATTGCCTTGGAGCATATACGACACCATTCCAAGGAAGGATGTCATCTTCTCTTAACTATGTAGAAAAACAGAATGAAATGTGCCCCATTTTTGTTATTTTTGATGATAAAATTTAGTCCTCGGATTACGGAAAAAAGGCTGCCCAATTTCTTGGCTTATTAAGAGCAGCTTGCCAAACTTTTATGTTCTGTGTAATCAGTACATGTAATGCTATCATTCCACAAAAAATCGTGAGAATGAAGGATTTCGAATTTCATGGCCCCCATACATAAGTGGTCGGTTTTTTGTGATAGATGCACTTAATACAGTGTAAGTTTATTCTTGTGTAAAACGAAAAACATCATGTTGACCGAAAGAACTTTTAAAGTCTAAATTTATTTGGTGTACCCATTCCACTGATCAAAATTGTCAGGCTTATATGTGACATCATGAGTTATGTAAAGAAAGGAATTGAAAAACAGGATATTATACATGCTCTCGGGGTCACCTGTCTAGTGTTGTTGCATCTAATTGCAATGCATCTATCTTACGTCCAATGCTCACCTTTTAACAGCTTTTTCAGTTTGCAAAATAGACGAAATACTATTATAGAACTCTACACTTGTTGACTCATACTATTAGTCACCTATTCACTAATTTTCATAAGACCTCAATATCTTGTCTCAATTCCTTTGTTTCCCAGTGGTTTCCAAGAGGATACTAAGAGAATTTAAAACAAATTCCAAAAAATGAATTTGTGTTCAAATGAAAAATTCTTTTGCAAAGGTTCACAGTGGAAAATTTTCAGATAGATTACTTAACGATGATATTACTCGTGAGGTTTGACATAGATTAGTATGGCATTTTCAGGAGGATTGAAATTTTCTTTTCAAAAATCTTTATCTGTTGTTGTTTTCTGTAGAAACATCCTCCAACAGAACAACAACAACAACAACAAATTCCTGCTCTGTCCTAACTGCTACCACAGCTGCCACCATTTCCTTTTCAGCTGGAAGTAAGAACATGATTGTTGATATTAATATTGTATATTTTCCTTTATAGAGGGGCCGCAAAGGGGTTTCTCGTGAAACGTGATTGCCCGTTTTTATTCTACGTGATCCGTGATCATGATAAATTAAAATCTGTGAACTGTGAATGATATGCTTGTCGTGACACGTGAAACCATAAATTTATTTTTCGTAAACCGTGAAACTTGACTAGAAATCAGCAATTTTTTTTACATGAAAATCAACTTGCCGTGTAAAAGAGTCTGTATAAAAGACTCTTTTGGATGCGGTGCACATTGTGTGTTTGATACGTGACAGACGCAACAGAAGATAGAAAAGCAATTAACAGGCAATTTGAGACTTGACAGAAGCCGACTCACGGGGCTAGATAACAAGACAAGACAACGACATCATTGACCATCATTCTTTGTTGCGTGTGTACGTAAGATCACGCAATCATTATGGTCAAGCTCACGCTTGAAGTCAGTGACATAGTAACAAAGTTATGGAGAAGTTTTAAACCCATATGCGAAATTGAAGGTGTCGTTTACTTCATCGATCCCAAATCCCCTGGATCAGTTGGTTTCCTCGGAGGGAAGGAATGAGTCACAATCCCACTGACCGAAGAACATTACTCTTTAGAAGCGTTCAAGAAACATATAGTCGCCCTTGCAGGCCTTAAGAATGAATCCGAGAAACGTGGCCTTGGTTCTTTGATTGAAATTAAGATCTGTCGGCTGGCAAAGACTGCCGGAGGAAGCAAAGCCTTCACCATAAACACACAAGCACTGTGGGACCTAGAAAGAACGCGTTTTGGAAACTCGTCAGTTTTACAAGGTAGGTATTTTTGCTAACATCGCAGATAAATTATTTGCGTGTCCCCGCGTGTATCAAGACCCTATGAAAGAGGCAACTGAATATATCTTATTACAACGAACCAGAAACCCACCCATGACTCACCCATTCGTCACCCATTAGTCTTAACACAAAAGGGCTTTTATACGATAAAAACGCAAGTTTATTTGTGATTGTGATGGGCCATGTCTAATATTACGTTTTGTGACTCTTCTTTTAGTCAATGTCCTCAAAAGGGAAGTAGTTTTTACAAAGGATTCCCCAGTAATTAAGACTGAATTAGCGGCCGACAGTGGTGCCAGTTCAGGCCAGACTTAAGTACAACAAAAGAGAAAAAGACAACTGGGTGCTGGAAGAAAGAGACCAGCCACAAAATGAGATGACGAGAAGCTTGTCAAACGATTAAAGTCGGGGGAAAGTGTAGCTCGCGATGAAAGGCAGATGAAAATGTTAGATCTTAATTTGGGTAAGTGCATTTAAAGTAATAATACTAACGTGCATTTAAAATAGTAATATTAACGGGAATGATAATGATTGTTTTTTCTTATTATTTAAAATCATTGCGTTGTTGCACTGAAATTTGTCGTAACGTAGAAAAAATAAGGCCGGTTTAATTTTCTGTTTTTGTTCGCAAGTTCCCGATAGTGTATATTTTAGTTCTTATTGACAGGGAATGATTCCTTGGTTAGTGCTGCAACTCAATGCTTTTTTTTATAATTTTTGTAGCACTTGAGAGTATTTCCAAGAGCAAAGCAATCAACGAATTCACCATTAGATGTGGGCGTTGTGACAAGTTGAAGATTGTTCCCACGGACAGAACCCCGCAAGCGAAAGCACGGTATTTTAAGAAAAGTAAGTGTCTGAAACATCATAGCACCTACACTTAAGGCGAAAAAATGGGTAAAATACCTTGCTGACAATAAATCACTGTTTATTGAGTATTAAATAAAAACAGAAGAAACAAATTGCTAAAACAGCACATCGAAATGATGTGTTATCTCCCCATTAAAACATAAAATCAACATCGTTTCTGATAAAGATACAGTAAACATTCAATGTGGCTTTTTTTTACTCATGCTCAATTTTGAACTTTTATTTAGAAAATGTCTTTCCCAACAGAACACTTTGACAGTGCATGTCAAAAACGTCAACTGCTGGACCAAGATGCCCAGAAGAACAGTGCATCAACAGCTGCAATACGAAAAAACATGGACGCCTTCCTAAGAAAAGCAAATAAAAAGACGTCTACAAAGGAAAATCAGTCTGAAGTAACCAATGAAATCAATGCAGCGGAAGAAATGACTAAGAAGACTGCGGACGAGGATGACAGTGATAGGGACCTAGATTTAGACTTGACGCTGTAAGAATCATTTTCCATGTTCACGCTAAACAAGTGACTATTCTTACCTGTAGAGCAAGTTTATATATTGAAACTCATATTTTCACTTTGTGAGAAATACATTGTCTTTGGTGGAGAAATGTATATTTTGTTGCATTTTGATAAAAAGTACTTTGTTGTGATTTAATTTTATTATTTTGTAATACGTATGGCTTATGATTGCAACCATTAAAAATAGATAACCTTTGAAGTTGTTGTAATCGTGTAGTGATTTTACCCGCCTTACCTTCTAATTTTATTACAGGTTTCAAGACAAAACGCCTGAACCAGCTTCTGGATTTGATTTTGGAGATATGCAGTTTGATAGTGATAGAGAGATTGCATCAGAGAACGAGGCAGAAACAAATAGCGACTGCGCTACTGCTTCAGAGCAAAGTGACAAAATCGATTCCGACACTACTGAACAGCTCACAGATAGTGACGTTGACCCTGAGTATACCATATTTCCAATTTCGTTTGCAAAAACAGATGAAGCATGGGTCAGACTGAACGACCTAATACAAAGTGCTAGAATACCAAAACACAAAATACTTTACAAGTCAGGGTTTGAGCTAGGATTTGATCACTAGGGGCCTTGGCTAAAATTTTGGGGGACAGAAATTTGTACACCCTTCCTTCTTAGCAGGGCTTCTGATAGGTCTCGGACGAAAAAGTCAAATTTCGTGGAATTTTTAGGGACAAATTCGCGGAAAAATCGGTTGATTTCGCGGGACTTTTCGGGGCAAACTTCACCGAAAAGCAATCGGTAAAAAACGGCCGATTTTGTCGTTATTTTCAAGGCAAATTTCGCTAGAAATCGATCGGTTTTGCGCTGATCAGACCAGCCTTTTTAACGTTTTTCTAACAGAGGTCATCATTTGCTCTTTCAACAACAATACGCTCCAGAAATGAACCAATGGCTAGTGCCCAGTTTTTCGCAACGTAATCTGTTTGCACGTTTCAGTGACGAAGTTCCAAGGTAAATTTGCAAGTTTACGGCAAGTAAATATCCCCTATAGCTGAAATAAGTTTCAAATATGTTGTACAGACATGTATTTGATAAGATTTCTACCAAATTTCGCGGTATTTTTCGTGTTCTTGTGAATTTCGCGGCTCCGCGACCGCGCGAAAAAACAGAAGCCCTGTCTTAGATTTCCGACAAAAATAGCAGTAGAGCGTGACTGAAACGTAACTTTGGAATGAACTTTAAAGGTGCGATAAATTATACTTTCCACGTTCTGTTTCAGCTTGCAACTTCTGTACCGAAATAAATCTTTTCGTGTGTGCTTCCTTTCGAGTTTTTTCCCTAAATTTTGAAGGGGACAAATTGTCCCCTTCACCGTTTTGTAAAGGGACAATTCCAATTGCAGTGCGGGATTGGCGCAATGGCGCGGCCTGGCTCAAACCCTGTACAAGTATTTGGATTCAGTGACACATGCTATGATTGATCCAAATCACGAATTTGATGAAGAAGTGGTACAATTTTTTAATTCCGTTAAATTTCTCGGAGGCGAAAGAACTGTTAACTTTGTCAGGGGTCCAATGTGGCATGGATGTGGTAAAGGAGGGGAACTTAGACCAGAATGTTCCAAACCAAATCTTGGTGGGCCATCAAGAACAATGCGGAATAAGCGTTGTTCTGGATATACAACCAAGTCTGGCATCGTAAAACCTTGGCTTGATTCATTTCTCCAGCTGTCGGAAGATACATCGGATGTGAAGCCATTGATTGAAACAACAATCATAAAAGCATTTGGCGTTGCTATGGAGAACTATGGTACTGCCTTAAAACCAGCCATACAATATGACGAGAAACAACAGATAAATGTTGGCCTTAAAGAAAGAGCTGACATTCGATTTGTCAACTCAAATCCAGATCCGAAAGCAGAATATCTGAAGGAAAACATTGTAACAGAAGCAAATGTTACTTACCTTTCCACTGCTGATAACACTGTGGCGATGCCCGTCAGTGTACTTTATAAGCCAAAGGCTGGAAAGAGCAGAGAAGAAATGAAACAGCAATTTCTTAACGAGGTTGATGTCCTTCAAATGTGCCACTCTTGCATAAAGGTAGCAACTTCAAATGATCACATCCTTGAAAAGGAAGCAGCGGCCATTTGCAACAGCCTTTGCAATACGTGCATTGCAATGAAAACTGTTTGTCCCGAGTGTAAAGAGCAAGGGCAAACTAGTGTCAGGCCGTCCTTAAGAGCTTGCCAAAGATGTCTGGAAGCTGGTCAGCAATGTGTAAGAGCTGCAGTTTTGGTTGTTGCAACTGACTGTGAATCTGGCAATAAGAAGGCATTTGAAATGATAGCAGAGAGCAGAACTAACGGAACTTTAGATCCACGGTCTATTTTCATTTGTCTTCCAGATGCTGTGCATGTTGGCAAAAGTCTGAAATGCAATTTCGCCAACTGGATGGTACTGCTACGCAATGAAAGAGATGCTTGTCCATGCTTCACACGATAAGGAATGCAGATACCCATCTTAAGAAAACACTGCCACGGGACAGTGTGCTCAATAAGGATCGAATGGATGTAGATTGTGTTCTACATTTGTCAAAGGAGAACGTTTTGTCACACCTGGTTCATTCAATTATCCCTGACAGTTTTAAGATCTCTGCAACCAACAAACCTGGGATGTACCCTCATCCAGTTGCAGTTTGTGTTGGAGAGCATGGAAAGATTCTTCTTCTTGATTATGCACCTAAGAAAAATTCTTCGAGGCTGTTGGAAGTAAGGCTGCATGTTCCTGCAGACGTCAAGATCCTTGGAGGATATTTGGGTGCCACATCCATGGTGTACTCCGGTGGCATAGCGTATCTCTGTCAGCCCTCTGGTATTCAAACAGTTCCCATAGCAGCAAAACCAAAGCTACACGTCAGAGGGTTGAAAGGCAGATCTCGTTAGTCAGCTAGCTGAAAGAGGACTCCCCAATCAAGGCACAGTCCAGGTGCTTCAAGACAGGCTTGACGATTTCCTAATCCATTTAGAGAAAACCTACGAAGAAAAAAATATAGATCTATCTAAAGTGTACCTGTCTCAAAGAATCAAGAAGCCCTCCTGTATCGCTAAGGCAAGTGAATGCATTCTTGTATGTTCTAGCGATGTCGACCTCGCCATCTACATGATCACGCTGAAGATGGATGGTGTAGTGGTTCGAGGAAATGTAAACATTTTGCAACTATCTCAATGGATGCAAAGAGGTTATTTCTATGTGTGTAAATAGAAACATTCTTTATGTTTCACATAAAGGAACACCTGGTGGTGTGGCATTTATTAAATTGGATAATTTAATGGTTGACATGGTCGTTAAGAATGGAAAAGTGGACTGTTCAGAAAGTTCCCATGTTGCTCCTTATAAAGGCAGCATTGTTTTTGCAGACACGGAAGGGCATCAAATCAAGGCAAAGATCCACAGTCAGAAAGTTACTGTTGTTGCAGGAACAGGAAGTGAAGGAAATTCTAATGGTAAAGCTGAAAGTGCCAGCTTTTGTCAGCCTATGGGCATTTGTGTTGAGTGCGACAAAAACATTTTTGTAACTGACGCGCAAACCGGCGCAGTCAAAGTACTTAGCACAATAGAAGGAACTGTCGAGTTCTTAAGACATTTGGGACTCCTCTACAAAGCGTGCTCCATCCATCTAAAGCACAAAAAGGCACAGAAGCTCTCTTTAGATGAGGCCATTTCGAAGCTTGAAACGCTAGACAATTTCTTAAAGGAAACAGTCGAAAACGTGATGAGCATCTTTGAAAAACCATGCAAACCCTCAGGTGCCACGGGAACTGTGTCCAACCAAACACTGTCTTCGGTCCGCATGATACTTGATGGATTGAGAGCGCTCGAAGAGCTGTCAAAGGAACTGAACGCAAATTACAAGATTGACCTACACACTTGCCTCACTCTTCAAGTCGAAAATTTACATGCAATGGGTCACTTCAAAGAGCAGTTTCCAACTCTACTACAGTATGCACAGAATCTCGCCAATACCATGTATGAGAGCATAAAAAGAGTTGTGCAGTGGGCGGCGTATTACTACACTCGTGATAAGTCTTATTATCCTGTAGTATCTCAGGCAACACCACTTAACGCCCTTCCACGGATGAGTCATCTTAAGCCAGTGAGAAAGCTTAATGAAGGAGAGCGAGGGGTGATGTTGGAATGGGCAGCAAACAATGGTAAAGCAGTCAGGCAGCGAACAGTACGCCTGGAAACAACAATGTTCAAAGCCGGAACGCTGCCTCTAAACATGTATGCCACTTCTGGCCAACCAACGGAAAAGATTATGGGGCGCCATACTGGACATTATTGCAAACCTTTGATATATGTGCTAAACTCCAGTTTGATATGCTCATTGTCATATAAACATGCTAAACTCCCAATAAATATGGTGTATCTACTTCTGTTCTACATGGCCATAGTCATATAATCGTGCTAAACTCCAGATAAATAGCCCACAAATAAATAAATACAGCCTGTTTTCAACCCCTAAATTTTCAGTGTTCTCTGAAAAAAATTAGCATGCTCAACTTTTCATTTCGTATGGTATGATGCACCACGCGCTTAAAGCAATGCCGCTACCCAGATCCCTATCAGCCACTGGCGGTAAATCAAAATGGCGGCCCTTGGTGGTATAGCGGGATCAGAGACTTATATCCTTATTTCAAAGGACAAAAGCACTTCTTGCAGAAGCAGAACAATACATTTCTATATTTCCATCAATTGAAAACATAGATGAAATAGAAATGTTACACGAAAGGCTGTCTGAGGCTGGAGAAACTTTTTATTTTGAAAGAGAGGGCTGTCGAACTCACTAGCGCGGATCGTGATTCGGAAATGGGAAACTTTTATAGCAACATGGATCAGCTGTCCTTATACTTGACAAGACTCCGAGTATATTTTGAGAATATAGAAGATGATTTAAGTGAAAGCACACTGAATGTGCCAGCTCACCAATGCGAAAGGAACTACACAGGTACAAGAGGTCAGCCAAAATTTAAATTTTCTAAAAGGAAAATACAATTTCTTCGAGAGTTGCACTTTCCTTGGGTCAGAATAGCGGAACTACTCGGAATTTCCACAAAAACTCTAACTAGAAGACGACAAGAGTTTCAAATTGAGGACGAGGGGGAGGTTAACTGGTCTTCACTTAGGAATGGAGAACTAAGAGAAATCATCCAAGAAATAATGACTGCTACCCCTGGGATTGGTCAAACCAGAATGATAGGTGCATTACATAGCAGGGGAATAAGAGTGCGGCGATGGAAAGTCAGGGAACTTATGCGCGAGTTGGATCCAGTCGGAACAGCAGTTCGGTGGAGAGGAACTATTTGTCGAAGAAAGTACAATGTACGAGGTCCAAATGCACTGTGGCACATCGATGGAACATACTGCTATTGATGGATATTCTAGGTTGATACCATATCTGCACTGTGCAAACAACAACAGATCCGATACAGTACTTGCACTATTTCAGAATGCCTGCCAAAGTTATGGAATGCCTTCAAGGGTTAGGAGTGACCATGGTCTCGAAAACATGGGTGTAGCCCGAATGATGTTGGAGTGTTGGGGAGTCAACAGAGGGAGCATGATAACTGGAAGTTCAGTGGAAAATCAGAGTCGAACGGCTTCATAGAGATGTGACCAGTGGTGTTCTTAGAAGCTATATAGGCGGGTTCAACATGATGGAAAGATCTGGTCTATTAGACCCTGTCAATGAAGTCTATTTACTGTCACTTCACCTTGTATTTCTGCAGGAAATTAAGAAATCTCTGGATGAATTTACCAGGCAGTGGAATTACCATGGCCTTAGCACAGAAGGTGGTTCATCTCCTCTTCAGCTTTGGACTGAGGGTATTCTAAGATCTGCAAATGGTATTTTATCAGAGGAAGAATTAATTTGGTATGGGGTAGATGAAGAGGATGCCATTTCTGTTTCAGAAGAGGATCAAGAGGTGATTGTTCCCAGCAGTAACATACCTTTGAGGGAAGATCAGCTGGATTACCTTCACTCCCTAGTACCCACAAACCTAACAAGGAGTGAACGAATCTCTAAGTATGTTGAGCTTGTGGGTGTTGTTAATGAGATGCTTTAAGTTTGGGGTTGAAGAGGGGCAGGGGACCTAGAGATTAAGCAACTGGCCATTTTATGGGCTGAGTGTAAAAAACGTTCCCTCTAGGTTTACTGAAATCAACTTTCAATGTAGAAATATATTTCAATGTAATCATATCATTACTGATAACAACTTGCCCAGTGTCATCCGCAAATTTTACTACAAGAAATAGAAAGTATTCTGGCTTCCCATTTGTCGTGTCCAATGTGTAGCTGTAGCACGTGAGTTCAGGTAAGGAAATAACTTGCATATGTCACAGCATTGACGTTTAATGTTTCCTTCTATTCATTTAGGTGCATACCAATTTCAATGTTAGTTATCCATTAAAACCAAAAGATTTACCCATCTTTGTATTCCTCGATTCATTACAGAAACAGTTTGCAAACCGGTCTGATGAGTTCTGATTTTAAAGGGTAGGCATCAGGGTTGTGATGCTGTTGTAAATATCAAATATGGGGGGTACTGGGACTAAGACAGCCTTTACCTTAGTACAATATAGCTCGGCTAGCAAACAGTCTTTAGCAGCTGCATTTACTAGTTTTCCCACCCTACCCACCCTGGGTAGTTTTTGGTAGTATATTCATTTCCTTTATGTCTGACAGTCTTGCTGTTTTTACAACTTATGTATACATTTGTTGATTCCATTTGAGTGTAACTAGTCTTATTACCTGTTCCATTTTAATATTGTACCTATATTTGAGTAATTACCTATTTACATGTTGTAATAAAGGCTGTCATAGTCCCAATCCTGGCTGTGTCCTGGTTGGCATTTAGGTCATGTAACAGTGAAATTGGAGGTCATTTGCTTTAGTTTTGTTCACTGTACAGTAGTTGTTGTATTGTTGATTTTGATATCAAGCAGCAAAACAAGTTGTAAGGTTATCATAAGAAATCTGTCAATGATCCGTGAAACAAAATCATTTTTAAATGAAAGCAGGACATTTAGGTCCATGTTTTGATTTGTACTGATTATAATTTAATCCATAGCTATAGGCATTTGTAACTGCAATAAGCGTAATAGTCTCATGGCCTTTAATAACAGACCACACACCAAGATTTATTGTAACTGACGTGCTTGGTACTTGAAATAAAATACGTGGTGAAACTAAAACAGGAAGAGAGCAAAAATTACAAGTTGTGACAAAGGAAAATCAGAATAAAGAAATAAAAAGCCTGCAAAAACAAGGACTGTGAAGTACACTGATTTACATTGTTTCGGACAGAGAAAACTGCTGTGAAGCGCATTGCGGATAACACGAAGAGACTGGCAAAAACTTATCAGAACTGCACTAACCGTGGACCAAAATCAACTGAGACCAAACTATACTGCAAAACTATCATAGAATATGCAGAAAATAAAACTATAGAAACTTAGAAAGGTGCTAACGATGATGAAACAGCAAAGAAACGCTAACGCAAAAACTGACAGAAAGGAATAAAAACTTATTTGTGCAAATAAAGCAAATGAAAGGACGAAAAGAGCTATAAACTAATTGCGCAGAAAACAAATAATAGGAAAAAAATGTTACACTTGCATGTTCCACATTAATTATTGATGACTGATACTTAATACAAACACAAGAGACAGTATGGAAAAAGGAAGGACAATGTTTAATACATGTATTATACATTGCATTCTAAGTGTTCCAAGCTAATCAGTCATTTTGGCCAATTGCAAAAAAAAGGTGGTTTCTTGGTGTTGCGGATCACCAAATGACGTCACCTTTAGACCGTTTTGTGTTTCTCACTATCATAAGGTTCAAGTTTTTATTCAACCTTTACAAATCCTCTTTTCGGCAAACGAATGCAAAATTTCTGTCGGTTTGTCAGTACCGACAAATTCACTGACAACTTTTGACTTAATTAAGCAAGAGTTCAACTGACATGAACTGACAAACCGACAACTGACAAATTTTGTCGGTTTGTCAGTACCGACAAATTCACTGACAAATTTTGACTTAATTAAGCCAAGAGTTCAACTGACATGAACCGACAAACCGACAACTGACAAATTTTGTCGGTTTGTCAGTACCGACAAATTCACTGACAAATTTTGACTTAATTAAGCAAGAGTTCAACTGACATGAACCGACAAACCGACAACTGACAAATTTTGTCGGTTTGTCAGTACTGACAAATTCACTGACAATTTTTGAGTTAATTAAGCCAAGGGTTCAACTGACATGAACCGACAAACCGTCAACGAACAACTTTTAGTTCCTGAAATGAAGAAGAGATGTGATGTGGCCGCATATCAAGTCTTGACAATTAAGCCCATGTGTATCAGTTAACGCTTTGGTGACGGCCAGCGAGAAACGAAAAAAAGATGTTTTCACCATTTCCCTTCTTGAACTGATTTTTGACTATCATAAGAATGGCCAACAATGAGGTTTGCAACAGAGAGGGCATATTTCCGAGAAAAAGGATGTAATTGAACAGAAAAATTATTATAAACATTTTTGTTCGCAGAAGCCCCGGCGCTCAAACCAAAATTGGAACTTTTTTAGGATCTATTTCGATCTTTCTCAGTCTCGCTCTCTGTATTTTTTTTTTTGCCTTCCTTCTTTATAAACTGTTTCATTGCCCACTTTATCTTCTTTCTTTTGCATTGAATTGAGGCTGCCTAATTTTTAGTAAAAGGGCAATTTTAATCTTCAAAGATTAGTGCAGGTAAACAGCTAAATGGACGGTGGATTTTCTCCCAAAATGTTACTTTTCTTAATTTTCCTAGTAAGTGTAACTCTGTTAGGATTGCTCAGAATATCCTGAGAACGAGGCATCGATGGAAAGATATATATTTGATGACGTTGTTACTTAGCAACTTATTTATAGGTTAAAGTGAAAGTTTTTAAAATGGGGACGGGAGTGAAAATATGCATACTTTCATATGGAAAGAAAACGACCAAAGGCAAAGGGCCAGTAAAAGAAAAACGGAAGTACACGCATAATGTTGCTGGCACGATACGAGTTTACAGTCAAACCAGGTCAAGCGTTCCCGTCGCTAACGAACTAATGAATTCATTCACGGAAAAATGATTTCGTTTGTTGATTCAATAATCCATTCATAAAATGAACAATCAAATAGTCATATTTAGCCTCGATTCTATAATCGAATGTTGATTCGATTACTGTTTTTTGAAAAATTCCACTTTCCACAAATTGACCTCAGAATTTTGTTTTTTCCTCTTTTTTTCTGAGAGTCGAGTGCTGGCGAGTTCTGAAGTTCAAACCCAAACAAACTGTTACATGTACGCCAGTTTGCTGCCAATAATCAGTGCAACAGACCTAGGCCTGACCTCTTAGAAAACACGACGGTCAAACTGAGGTCAGTGTATGTGCGGTGATTGGTGGATTTCGATCCTCGGCTTTTGTCAGTTTCTTTGCGTTTGCGGTCTGTCTATTCTAGCTGTTATTTTGATTAAAGGCAATGAAAAACGCAATCGTAAACGGCAGGAAAAGGAAAGCAAATACGATTGAACACAACAGACAAGAATAAAGAACAGGTAGATTTTGTTCATAAACCAAATCAACATTTGATTATTGAATCGAGGTACAATTTGACCGTTGGATTATTCATTTTATGAATGGATTATTGAATCAACAAACGAAATCATTTTTCCATTAATGAATTCATTAGTTTGTTAGCGACGGGAACGCTTGACCTGGTTTGACTGTAATAATCTCATCTGTATACAGTATCATGTCCATGCCTTTCACATGAATTTTGGAACCAAAAGCAATGTGAAACCACCATGAATTTTCGACAAAACCAAAAGCAATTTGAAGTGAAACCTGATCACCTTTTATAGCTTTATAGTCTTATTGTAGATCAAATAATCTGATTTTATGTTTCATTCTAAAATGAATGGCATGCCTAAATTTCAATTTTAAATCGACAAAACTCAACAATATATAATTCAAATACCAGTTTAATATAAGTAGTAAATGGCGGTTTTCGCGGCGGCGGGAAAAGGAGATCACCGTGAACGATTTATAGGTTTCTCTTTATAGTCTACTTTGCCCTCTCCTTAACAAAACCGCCCACGCAGGCTAACATACCGGTAAAGTATATAACGACAACGTGTTTCAAGCCTTTCTTTTTCTTCTAATACATTTTATTGTTCTTGTAAAATAGCCATAACCGTTTTGCCCAAGGTCTTCTGTGAAATAGTACTCTGAGAATGAAGCCCTATGCATACCCACACTTTAAGAATTCGGAGTACTGAACGATGTCTTAAAGATGTGTTAACAGTACTTGTCCATGATTTGTCTATAATAGTGAAATTTGACTGCAATACTGTGAAGTACGTTATTCCAACGTTACTCACATTGAAGAATTGTGACTGGCTAATCTCTGCTGGCCAGTAGATAATCAGGTTTATTGCAAGTTTTGCTTCTTCTGAACCAGACGCGGATAGTTCTTGTGTAAAACTATTGTTATTTACAGATCTGGGTATGCAGTGCTTCCCTAAAGATAGCAGCTTCAGTTCTCTGAAGCATGTTATCTTCTTTTCTAAACTGTGCAATATGAGCTTCTCGTTCTACTAGTAAATCGCCTGCTGGCAATTTGCCCGGAACAACCTTCAAGAAGGCCTTGTGGACAGCTCCTCTGCAATGTAATGTACCGTAACCAAGTTCTTGGAGGGCACGCATTTCGTTCACAATGGCCTCTGTCCGCGCACTGCGAGTAAGCCTACGGATAACATTTCTTGGCTTTACAAATGGCCCAGGGTGTAGCAAGATTTTACTTCTTAAGTCATCATTGTTGACAGCATCGTGGAAAGGGCCTATAGAACGATACGGCTTGTAATAATAAGGCAGGCGCCAACAGGGAGGAACTGGCGCAAAGTATGATTAACTAGCACCCAATGCTTTCAGGTTGTTGCTTTCCTTTAGATTTTGACTGTGTCTATCAGCTAAGCGCAAATAAAATTGGTGAAACTGCTTGAAAGTTTGTTGGAAAGCCATCTGTTCATGTCCAC